AGTATTTATGTTGAGCCAGAAGTGACTTGTGAACAAATACTTGTATCTTTATAAAGATAGTGAAACTTGACCAAGTTGATCAAGAATTGGAAATAATCTCAGTAGTTGAGATAAATTAGTATAAAAATATTTTGTGTTCTTTGCCTATCTCTTTGTTTGCATTCCTTAAGACTTATGTTACTACTTCATTATTTTAAAAATGTGTCAAGATTTTAATTAATACTATTCAATTTTTGTCTCTTCTTCTTTTTTTCATAGTTAAGGTACAAACAAAATTTCATATAATTGGATTATGTGTAGAGAAAAAAAAATTATAAAACACGCATAATGTCAATTTATATGATATAACATTAACCAACTTCAAATGAAATAAAGTGGTATTGCTCAGTACTATGATATAACATTAACCAACTTCACATGAAATAAAGTTTCTTTATCATTTTTCAAACAGACCATTCCATGTTGCTTTCCTAAAATGTATAGCTCCTTTGCTATCTCCGTCAAGACTTTTATTGTTCACTACATATTATCCGACTCCTCCACATTGATTATTATTATATAATATCGAATCATCTAGAGGAAACTTTCTTTTCATCTATTTGCCATTCAATTTCTTCACGTACCCACCTTCCCCCTTTCCTTTGATACCGGATTATCAAATTGGAAACATTTATATACTTAGGATTATCTTTGTTATGTCTTATTTGCATTTATGACCAACTAGAATTTACCTTCTGTCATGTTTCGTTTAAAACTTTTATTTGTTGTTTACTTGTTTCAAAACATTTTTATGACATCATAATTTTGTGAGAATGTTTGAAACGATATCGGTATAATTTTTATTAATTATTTCAATAACTTTATATTAATATAAATTTTGTAAATCCAAATGTTAGATTAAAAGTTTATATCATTTTATATGTTTATATCAAATTTTGTTAAAATTGAACATCAACTTGAAGGTAATCAAAGTGTTCATATTTTATTATATTTTGAAATATATATGACGTCAATTTTATTTTATAAGAATGAAATATCAAATCATTTTAAATTAATATAAAGTTTTGTTTATATATGATCTAAAAATAAAGAATTTATTTCAATCTAACGGTTAAATTTATAAAATTCACATTTAATATAAAGTTATTAAGTGGTGTAATATTTAACAAAAAATTACACCGGTATCATTTGAACCTTCTTTCAATTATGTTTATAGTATTATGACTTTAACCATGGATTGGTTTGTGTTTATCAAGAACAATTATAGATTTTTCTGTGTCAAAATAATAATAATAATTGGTTTTTGGATTTATTTACTAATGACTTTTTCGTGACTATTCATGATTTATTTATTTGTTACAAGAGGAAAACTATTTATAATATTTACCAACCAACAAGAGATCTCGGGAAATTTGAGACCATCAATAATGACGAGTTAAAACAAATGTTCCTCATTAATAAAGACTTTTAACCTTTAATAATAACGTTTTTTCTTGTAATGTCATCAAACATATCATTTAAACTATTTTCTTAAACTCAATTAAGAAGGAAAAAAAATTCAAGAATTAATTTTTCTGTAATCTAGTATTAGAAATATGCATAATTTATTGTGAAAGGTAGTCCAGCTATTCACGTACTACTAAAAATCCACATGATGATCTTTTATCGTGACACATCCTTATCTTTACTATCTGAGAAACTAATAAATACTTGCTCCTAAAAATAACTATATTTTGATTATAGTATCTCTTGTATACTCAATTTCACTAATAAAAGTAAAATTTATTCCGCTTATAAATATTTCCCTAATAAATATTTCATTAACAGATTTTGATTATGATATTGGATTTGCTCGCTTAATTTCCCTTTATATATTTAATATTTTAAGTCATCAATAACATATATAAAAATGATAAATTGAGATAATTCTGTATTATTAGTTAAATTTAATGTGATATTTTTACTAATAAAAATATTAATACATAGATTTTATATGTTAACATTTGATAAATTTTTTAACAAAATTTAAATATAAAGAATAAAACAAAAATTTTAGAATTACAAAAATAAAAAATTAATTTTAAATTTGAGAGATTAATAAAAAAATTATTTGAGGACTTAAAAACATATTGAAGTATATATATGTATAGAGGAGGATATAATAACACCGGTTTAACTTTTACTAAGTATTACACTGCTCAATAACTTTATATTAAATGTGAATTTTGAAAATTTAACCGTTAGATTGAAAATTCATATCTCTTAGATCATATATACAAAAATTTATATTAATCCAAGATGATTTGATAATTCATTCTTATAAAACAAAATTGACGTAATATATTCATTTTAAAATATACTAAAATATGAACACTTTAATTACTTTCAAGTTGTTCCATTTTAACAAAATTTGATATATACATATAAAGTGATATGAACTTTCAATCTATATAACGGTTGAATTTAAAAAATTCACAATTAATATAAAATTATTGAGGGGTGTAATATTTAGTAAATAAACAAGTATCACACCACTTAATAACTTTATTTTAATTGTGAATTTTATAAATTCAATCGTTAGATTGAAAGTTCTTTACACTTAGATCATATATTCAGAATTTTATATTAATTGAATATGATTTGATACTTCATTCTTACAAAACAAAATTGACGTAATATATACATTTCAAAATATAATATAATATGAACACTTTTTGATCACCTTCAAATTGTTATTCACTTTTAACAAAATTTGATGTAAACATATAAAGTAATATAAAGGTATAATTTAACAGTTGAATTTACAAAATTCATATATGTATAATTTATATATATATAATTCATATATACATATATATATATATATGAAGAGGGTTCAAACGATACTGGTGTAACTTTTAAATATAAGAACTAAAAGAATTTTTATAATTATAAAACTAAAAAATTAATTTTAAAATTGAGAGACTAATAAAAAAAATTATTTGAAGACTTAAAAATATATTTAAGTATATATATATAT